TGGGCCTCGGTCCTCGGCGCTGCCACCACTCCAGTCTCTGCTCTGCTCTCCTGCAGCCTTGCAGCCCTGCCACCATGTCACGCCCAGAGCACTGGGCGGAGCTCTTTTTATAGAGTCAACAGCCATGTATTGCCCACAGGTGTGCAGTGAGCTAGTCAACCATGGCCAGGTGAGAATCCTGGCCACAGGAACTCTCATTTTATCCACAGGTATGTACAATAAAATGCAGTGGAGTTTGTCTCTTGTTATTGCTATGTCCCAATGGCCTAGATCATTGCATAGCAGATGTTTAATAAATATTTGCTGAATGAATAAATAAGTGTATTGAGCATGGGTCAGTGGAGGAGCTGAGGGATAATGGATCATTTTTTTAAGTTACACAGCTGTAGACTGTGAACCTCAGAAGGAGTGCATCCCTGTACCAGTGAAGTCTTCAGCATGAAGCCTGTTTTTTCTGTGAAAATAATAGAAGCAAGCACATCATGGTGATTCTCTTGGCAAGTATCTGAGGACTGCAAACTCTTCAGGGCTTTCTTAGAGAGTCTCTTCCTGCCAATTTAGAAGCTCCAGAGAGAGAAAGGAAATAATTCCTCTATTTTGAAGACCCAAATGAAAAGGAGGTATAGAAACATATTACAGTGGCTTTCAGTCCATAAATGTACATCACATTTGTGAATAAAGAAGGGTCCTATGGCCAGGATTCTCACCTGGCCCTGGTCAGCTAGCTCACTACACACGTGTGGGCAATACATAGCTATTGATTTTATATAAAGAGTTCTGCCCTGCCCAGTGCTCTGGGCAATACAGTGGCATGGCCACATAGCTGCTGCACAGCTACAGGAGAGCAGAGACTGGAGTGGTGGCAGCGCCGAGGACATAGACTGAGATGGCTGTGAGATAGAGAGGTCCAGAGGCAGAGACCAGCTTGTTGCATGCAGACTTGCTCTGAGTGGATGAGATTCTAGTGGTTGACCTGCTACCATGGGAATAAAGTTAGGTATAAACTCTTTTACTCCAAGAACATTCTATTGTCATTTTTCGGTCTCATTGAATCCACAGTGAATTTGCCTGGGGATGAAACCCATTGGCAAGACAACACTCTACCACCTTTACACTCAGGGAAAGTTTAATTTTTTCCCCAGATTTGCTTCACTCATGCAGTGTCAAGCATTAACATAAAAACTGGGCTGGAACCCATGAATCTCAAAGGGCTTTGATAGGAGAGAATATGGAGCCATCTTTAGGGTGTTTCCATGGTCTAAGACATGTTAGACACTGAAATAGGTTCTTAGTCAAAAACTTTTGAGTCACATGTGAAGATCAACTATCAAGAGAAATACAAGTAGATGTCCCTAATAGAAGAATTCAAACCCAGAAAAACTTCAGGTAGTAAGGCATTGTAAATAAATTTTAAAATAATTATGTTCATTATATTTTAATTATGTTCACTATTAGGCAAGAATATATCATTATGTATCATTATGAAAAAGAAGAGAGCAGTGGATTTGAAAAGGACATTTTTTCCATTTTTGTATGTGGTAAAATGCACATAACAAAATTGTCTGTCTTAACCATTTTTAACTATTCAGTTCTCTGGTATCAAATACATTCATAATGTTGTGCTACCATTACCACTATCCATTTCCAGAAGTCTTTTCATGTTGTAAAACTGAAACTCTATACCTATTATAACTCTCCTTTCCTCCACTTCCCCCTACCCCTGGGAACCACCATTTTACTTCATCTTTATGATTTTGACTATTCTAAGTCCCTCATGTAAGTGGAATCATACAATATTTGTCTTTTTGTGACTGACTTATTTCACTTAGCATAATGTCTTCAAGGCTCATCCACGTTGCAGCATGTGTTAGAATTTCATTCCTTTTAAAGGTTGAATACTATCCAATTGCATGTATAGACCACATTTTATCCATTCATCCATTGACGAAGACTTGGGTTGCTTCTCCATTTTTGCTATCATGAATAGTGCTGCTATGTGCCTGAGTGTACAAATATCTGTTTGAGTCCCCACTTTTAATTATTTTGGTCATACACCCAGAAGTGGGATTCCAGGATCATATGCTAATTCTGTTTTTAATTTCTAGAGGAACCACCATACTGTTTTCCCTAGCAGCTCCAACATCTTACATTCCAATCAGCAACACACAGGATTGCAATTTCTTCACACCTAGCCAATACTTGTCATTTTCTGTTTTGTTTTTGGTTTTGATTTTTCATAATAGCTGTTCTAACAGAAGTGAAGTGGTATATCACTGATTTTGATTTGCATTTCCCTAATGATTAGTGATTAGTGATGTTGAGGATCTTTTCATGTTAGCCATTTGCATTTCAAATTAGCCATTTACATTTCTTCTTTGGAGAAATGCCCATTCAAATCCTTTGCCCATTATTAATTGGGTTGTTTGTTTTTTCATTGTTTGTTGGAATTCTTTATATATCATGAATACTAATCCCTTATCATATATATAATTTGCATAGGTTGTCTTTTCATTCTGTTGATAGTCTCCTTGCATGCCTAAAAGTTTTTAATTTTAATTTATGTTTTTGTTGCTGTTGTCTGTGTTTTTTGATGTCATATCTATGAAGTCATTGCCAAATCCAGTGTCATGAAGGTTTTCTCTAATGTTTTCTTTTAGGAATTTTATAGTCTAGATCTTACATTAAATCTTTGACCCATTTTGAGTTAATGTTTGTATATGGTATTAGGTAAGGGATATCTACATTCTTTGCCTGTGGTATCAGTATTCCCAGTAACATTTGTTGAAAAGACTGACTTTTTCATCATTGACTGGTCTTGGCACACTTGTCAAAATAATCATTTGACTATATATTAAGGTTTGTTTCTGGGCTTTCTGTTCTATTCCATTGGTCTATGTGTTTGTTTTGATTACTGTAGTTTTGTAATAGGTTTGAAATCAGGAAGTATTAGTCCTCTAGGTATGTCCTTATTTTTCAAGATTGTTTTGGCTATTCAGTGTTCTTTCAGATTCCATATGAATTTTAGAATGGGTTTTTCTATTTCTGCAAAAAAAAAGCCTTTGGGATTAAAAAAATTTTAAATTAAGCTATCTTTGATATACAATCTTATAAAGATTTCACATGAGCAATATTGTGGTTATTACATCCATCCATGTTATCAAGTCCCTGCTCCCACACCCAATTGTAGTCACTGTCCATCAGCATAGTAAGATGCTATAGAGTCACTACTTGTCTTCTTTGTGCTATACTGCCTTCCCCATGACCCTCCCACATTATATGTGCTAATCATAATGCCCCTTAATCCCCTTCTCCCTCCCTCCCCACACCCACCTCACCATCCCTCTCCCTTTGGTAACCAATAGTCCCTTCTTGGGAGTCTGTGACTCTGCTGTTGTTTTGTTTCTTCAGTTTTGCTTTGTTGTTATACTCCACAAATGAGTAAAATCATTCAGTACTTGTCTTTCTGCACCTGGCTTATTTCGCTGAGCATAATACCCTCTAGCTCCATGGGATTTTGATAGGAATTGCATTGAATCTATAGATCACTTCGGGTAGTATTGATATCTTAACACTCAGGAGGAAGGAGTGGTATGCAAAAAGGAACAATGACAAAAAAATTGAGAGAAGACTCTTGCCTAAGGGCACATTGTTCTTAAGTAGAGCAGGCAGTACTTGAACCCAGGCTGTCTGACACCTTAGCTGATACCCTTAACTTTTACATTACCTATACCTCTATGAGAACTCTTTCAAAATCTCATGAAGTAATGTACAAGAAAGTATCTGAGACTTTCTTTGGATTTTAATGTTCAATTATCTATTAATCATCTATAATGAAGTTCTAAGAAGGTCCCAGAGAACAATTAAGCCCTTTTTTCTTTTTTAAGTTAGAGTGATGACACATTCATTCTCATCCAGTGTTTATTTTGTATTCCTTCCATGTGAGGTAATGTGACAGGGTTCTAGGTATAAGTGGTGGGAGAACGTTTATTCCATAGGTCTTGATTTCAAGGACTTTACAGTCCAGTAAGAAAAAAAGATCATTTTTAATATAGAAAATGTCACGTGCCTTGTGAGAGGAACAGATGTATTCTTGAGGAAAATTCAGAGGAGAGATTGTTTTTGGTCTGTGGAATGAGTGATGTAAAAAAATAAAAAAAGACATAATGGAGGCGGTGGCCTGTTTGCTGGACCTTGAAAAACAAATATAATGCTAACTCCATCAACTTAACTGTAACTATTTATCGGGTCCCTACAGTGTGCATGCTGCTCTGCTTGGAGCTTCTCCTCCTTATTTATTTCTCACAATCACCTTGTTAGGTCTAGGCTCGAGGTAGACCCTTGAATCCAGATCTGGTTGGTTCCAAATTCCCTGCCTTTTTCCCTCCTCACACATTTTTAGAGTAGGTAAAACATCCATTTCTTCCATTTCCAAAAGTCTGATTATTATCCATCCTTCTGGTTCAAATACCAGGGCTTTTACAGATTTTCAAAATTTTCAAAATATGACTTGCTTCAGACCATAAGAGGGGTTTGCAAAAGCACAAATTTCCAGCCCCCAATCTCAAAGATTCTAAGTAATTAGGTTTGGAATGTGAACCAGATAATCTATCTATTTAACAAACTTACTTGTCCTCTTTTAAGAACCACTGTGTCTAGAAGGTCTTCCAGGAGCGTTCAGTAGAAGTAAGTTCTTTGGGGAGAACACTTCAACTAGACCTTCTCGTCTTCGCCATACTGGCATGTGGGCGGCTCAGGCTGATTTTTTTCTTATCTCTGTGCTGAAGGGCTGAATGACTGAGGAGGTTTTGGCCTGATCTACATACATCTGAATTCGGCAGCACAAACGAAGCCATTTGTCTAAATGCTTAAAACCATACGCGAAACCTGCGCGTTGTGATGTCTGGCATGATGTGGGGAAGAGTACTGCGATTTCAAAATTCGCAACACCTCAAGGGTTACTACCTTTGAGACCGGAAGATGCCCTAGTAGCCGAGTCCTGCGCAAGCGCAGAGGGAAGGCGGACGACAAACCTCCAGGGCGCACCCTTCCCTCCCTCTCTTTCCGGCCTCCTCCCACCGCGCAGGCGCAGAGGGAACCAAGATGGCGGCTCCCGTGGATCTGGAGTTGAAGAAGGTAAAAGGGGGTCTGGGTAGGCAGAGGTTTCTCCTGATAAGTTAAGGAACTGTGAACAAGAATATAGAGTGAGGCTCTAGTTCTGAGGAAGGAAAGAAGCCCCAGGCGACTGGGGAAAGATTTCCCAGAGCCCTAAGACGGGGCCGGGTATCCGTAGGTTGGAGTTAGGTGTAGCGGTTTTTGCTGGTGAAGAGCCGGTTTAGCTGGATTTGGTTCAGTTCGGCGGGCCGATAGTTGGGCTTCCCCCCTCTGTTCTGAACTTCAGAGCCGTTTCGTTGCGCGGAGCCGTCAGTTCCATATTAAGGCCTGAAGTGAGCGTTACAAATTGGAGCCAACTTCGGACGGTTTGCCTGCTGTAATTCTGCATCCTCGTTTGCTTTGAAAAACTGTAAATCTAACCTATGCTTTTAGGCCACTTATTAGATCCTATTCTGTGGAAGGTCGCAGTATCTATGTACAGTTAAGAGTCATATATTCTAGCAGCGTTCATCTCAGGGCTTTGGCCCCCATCGCCTTTCCCCTTGCCCCCACCATTTTTTTGAAGGACTTGGGGGCAAAAAAAAAGTCCAGTAAAGTTTTCAAAATAAAATTGGTGTTAGAAGAATTGGGTTTCTCTCTTCAGTTATTTATAAATGTATTGTTACTCAGAAACGTTTTGCCACCTAAAAGCTGTCAGGATTCTAAAACCACTACGGACCCAAAACCATACCCTTGTTTTTGGGTAGCGGGGAACAGGGATTGGAAGGTTACTAGACTTCATGTACTTTAAACCTGTATTTTTCTAGAAAAGGGAATAGTTACAGAAAAAACACAAAGATTGGGACTAGAGCCTAGTATTCTTTGCCTTACTCCACACCTTTTGACCGTAAGTTTAGGTTCTTCAAAGAGCAAATTTTACTTCTTTCAGACTGCCTCCTGGTCAAATTTTGCATAAGCAATAGTGCTCCTAAGAAATGGAGCTGTTTGTTACAGCTCTTAGGAGTTACGTATACGTGTCTTGCTTGCTTTTTGTCATTCTTGTTTTGAACCTTGTAAATTTAGCCTTTACATGATTTTTAAATGTAATTCCTAATTACATTTCTCTAATGCTGTAAAATCTCATCTTTAACAGTATACTAGCTTTCTTAGCAAAGTATATACAGAACAATCAGATAATACCTGTCATTTTACATGCAAAATAAAATTCATTTTAAGAATACAAGTCTGCCTTTTTTTCTGTTAAAAGCTCAAATTTAAGTCAGGGTTTAATGAAAGAGCTAACAATGGAATACAGATGTGAATGGACTTACCTCCTTGTGGTGTTTGAATTTGTTGCTAAGAAACCTGTGGACCATGAACACAAACTAAGAAAATGATTACAGGACTAAATTGTATAGTTTTGACAGTCAATTAAATTCACCAAAAAAAAAAAAAAAAGAAACCTGTTTAAAGGTTTTTATCTTCTAATATATTTATAAGGTCTTTTTTGGGGGGTGGAGACTATTAGGAAATTTCAGGCACTTCTCTCCCACCAAATAAATCTTGAAACCCTAGTAGGAGGTGAGAAGAGTCAGATACAGTGAAGTAGTAGCCTTTGTCATATATTGCAGTCACAATATTTAGTATTAAGGCATAAATTTGACAGCATGTGAAAGTCATTCCAGACACTTCAACAAAAGTATCCAAGAACTGTATTTATCTTTAAGTGTACGCAAGGTTCAAATTTGGTTTGGTATGTACATATGAAGATTATGATGCAATTCTACCAATGCTTTGAATTTTTTTTGTCTTTCTTTTAAAAAATATTAAAGCTCTGGATATTACTGTAAACAGAATGGAAAGATTCCTGAACTAGAGGTCAGAAGAAATGCATTTAAGTTACCTGCCTTTCCATCTAATAGTTCAACCCTTTGTAAGCCACTGACATCTCCTTAATGCATTTAATTACTTAATTTGTAAACAGTGATGAAACTGCCATCCCTAACTCATAGGATTATTGAGGAGTAAATAAGATATTATTATATCCCTTAATATTTTCATATTAATAGTCCCATGTTAATATGTCAGACAAATGTGGGAAAGTGCTTGGAAACCTAGTTGTGTAATATGAATTTTACACATTGTTACATTAATGGTTCTTGTTTCGGATCACTGGGCTTCATCCTCTGACTGCATTCATTACTCCTTGGTTACCTGCTACTTGATACAGTCATAATTTAATGTGCATTTGTTCTGCTATAAATAGATTGCATTTTCTGAGGACAGGATAAGTTCAGTATTTAGCATAGTGGTTTGATTGTTTACAGTTATATTGACTTTTATTGTTTGGTAAATTTCACGGCTTTGTCTCTGGTTAACAGGCTTTATTTTAATATATTTGGATTTGATTTAAATATTTCCTGTAAAATGTTTTAAGTACTAAATCAAAGACTTGTTTTTATTAGGCCTTTACAGAGCTTCAAGCCAAAGTTATTGACACTCAACAGAAGGTGAAGCTTGCAGACATACAGATTGAACAGCTAAACAGAACGAAAAAGCACGCACATCTTACAGACACAGAGATTATGACTTTGGTAGATGAGACTAACATGTATGAAGGTGTAGGAAGAATGTAAGTAAAATATATCCTTATGGGGTTATTTTGGGAGAGGTTTTATCTGAATTAAATAATAGAATTTGTTCATTTAAAAACTCAGGTTAAAGTGTCAATAGCTTTAAATGTCTAGTCAAATACCTTCTTTTTTTAAAAAAATGAGAAACTGAACCCCAGGTGTGTTTAATTTTAGACTTTAAAGTACATTTCTTAAGTATTTCCTTGTTCTATGTTAAAGGTATATTTAAGTGTGTAACTTAAGTAATAAAAATATGACTTGTTATAAGAAGATGTTTGTAGTAATTTTGTGTGTGAAGAATTATTTAAGTAGTTGTAGTTTTAACCTTCCCTTCCCTACCTAATTTATTAGGAGTCATACAAATCATAAATCTTTTAGATGTCTGACCAGTGTTGTAAAATAAAAACGAGGATTCAGTTACCATTTAAATAAACTCATTCGTCAGACATGAGAAATCAAGTAAACCAATTTATGTTTTGCATGTTCTAATTGTTATATGATTAACTACCTATACTTCACTTTTTTTCTTTTAAAAAATATATTACTCTTATGATAGAGGATAGATCTGCTTCATGTTCTCTAAGCAGTAAATAAGGAATGGAAAAGCCCTTAACTACTGGTCACATTCCATAATAGTGAGCTAAAAGGAAAATGATTTTTTTTTTCTAAGTGTGGGAGGTACAGAAGGGTTTTCCTGGAATTTGGTCTTTGAATATTAGTAAGTGGACCACTACTTAAAGTTTGAGGATCTTTTAGTTGGAATGGAATTTGACCTCAGTCTTAGGATGACTTGTTTTGTGATTGATTTGAAGGAAGCATAACATGTGTAACATTTAGTAATGGCTTTGGAATGACATCATGAGAAGTAGACCCAGCTCATGACTAGCGAATCCCTATCTTTCTGGAAGAGAGATAGATTACGATAAACTGCTTATCTGATTTGTTTTCACAAAGTAAATAATATACCACAAATTTTATCTCTGGAGTTCATGGTTTTTCATTTTAGCTTGTTTTAAGAGAAGGGAATCTCAATTTGTGAGTTTTTACTGGGACACAAAAGAATTGGGTTGAGAACAAAGTAGAGTCGTTGAATATATGTTTCTGTAGTATGAAGTGCATTGTTGGCATTCACTGCAGGGTAATTTTATCCTTAATGTGAATATCCTTAAGTCTTAAAACAGTAATACTAGTTTTTCTAGCATGCTTGTTAACATGTTGCACTTGGATTTCATATCACTACATTAGCTTCTGTTTGCAACAGCTAAAGAATCTCTTTTTCCAAAATAGAAAAACTCTGGTTATCTTTGGCCTTTTGCGCTACAATGAGATTTTTAGTTTTATTAGAATAATTTCATTTATTCTAATTCTGCATTCTGCAGAAGTAATAGGAGATTTTTTTTTCTTACTGCCTAAAGTAATGCAGATAGGTTGTATTCCATAGTACAAAGAATTTTAGAGTTTAAAAGCAGGAGTATGAATTAGTTAATGGTAGAACAGTAGTATATCCAGATTTACTTCATATAAATTGTTTCTTAAAAGGTATGTGTAGTTTTAAATGCTTGGATAAATTGGAACTCCTACATGGTTTCAAACTTCAGTTTTAAATTGGACTTATGTGCATCATACTGCATCTCACTGGGAGTGTGAATTTGACCCTGCATTGTAGGGGCATGTAAGGTGAATGGTGTTTGTTGTTTGTCTAGAGTATTAGTGCCCTCCGGAAGAAAAGACTTGCTGAGTATTAGTCTAGTCATGAGGATGTTCTCTTTGTTGATGCTAAACCTGAAATAACTATTTCTGAATTTATAGTCTTGAGTAATCTTGAGTATCATTGTGGTTCTCTTTTTTAATTCTATCCTTTATCTTTTTAATTTGTCATTTTTTTCCCTTTTTGTGTATTATTTGGGAATTCTAATTTAGTACTAATTTTTCTCAAGTTGTTATTTTAAAACCATGAATTATAAAGTCCAAACACTCCATTTTTGTTTTAACACTTGCAGATTTTTGCCTTTGTTGAAGTTCAGGCCTCACTGTGTTTTGCCTGGACTATTGCAGTAGCATCTTAACTGTTTTTTTCGGCGTTTATTCTCTCTGTCCAAATGCATTTACACATCTGCTTTCTGAATTGACCATGTCAGTATTCTTCATAAAATCCTATGCTGGTCCTCTGTTGCCCACAGGATAAAATCTAAACTTGTTAGCCTAGTATTCATGGTCATTCATAATCTGTTCTTAATGTACCCTTCTCGCCTCGAGTCTCACCACTTCCCATTCCCAGACTCAGCAGAGCACATACATTTCATCTCATGAACTTCCTCCTTCCACTGGTTTTAGGTTATCTGTTGAGAAGGAATTTTAGACAAATGTGGGAAAGTGCTTGGAAACCTAGTTGTGTAATATGAATTTTACACATTGTTACATTAATGGTTCTTGTTTCGGATCACTGGGCTTCATCCTCTGACTGCATTCATTACTCCTTGGTTACCTGCAACTTGATACAGTTATAATTTAATGTGCATTTGTTCTGCTATAAATAGATTGCATTTTCTGAGGACAGGATAAGTTCAGTATTTAGCATAGTGGTTTGATTGTTTACAGTTATATTGACTTTTATTGTTTGGTAAATTTCACGGCTTTGTCTCTGGTTAACAGGCTTTATTTTAATATATTTGGATTTGATTTAAATATTTCCTGTAAAATGTTTTAAGTACTAAATCAAAGACTTGTTTTTATTAGGCCTTTACAGAGCTTCAAGCCAAAGTTATTGACACTCAACAGAAGGTGAAGCTTGCAGACATACAGATTGAACAGCTAAACAGAACGAAAAAGCACGCACATCTTACAGACACAGAGATTATGACTTTGGTAGATGAGACTAACATGTATGAAGGTGTAGGAAGAATGTAAGTAAAATATATCCTTATGGGGTTATTTTGGGAGAGGTTTTATCTGAATTAAATAATAGAATTTGTTCATTTAAAAACTCAGGTTAAAGTGTCAATAGCTTTAAATGTCTAGTCAAATACCTTCTTTTTTTAAAAAAATGAGAAACTGAACCCCAGGTGTGTTTAATTTTAGACTTTAAAGTACATTTCTTAAGTATTTCCTTGTTCTATGTTAAAGGTATATTTAAGTGTGTAACTTAAGTAATAAAAATATGACTTGTTATAAAAAGATGTTTGTAGTAATTTTGTGTGTGAAGAATTATTTAAGTAGTTGTAGTTTTAACCTTCCCTTCCCTACCTAATTTATTAGGAGTCATACAAATCATAAATCTTTTAGATGTCTGACCAGTGTTGTAAAATAAAAACGAGGATTCAGTTACCATTTAAATAAACTCATTCGTCAGACATGAGAAATCAAGTAAACCAATTTATGTTTTGCATGTTCTAATTGTTGTATGATTAACTACCTATACTTCACTTTTTTTCTTTTAAAAAATATATTACTCTTATGATAGAGGATAGATCTGCTTCATGTTCTCTAAGCAGTAAATAAGGAATGGAAAAGCCCTTAACTACTGGTCACATTCCATAATAGTGAGCTAAAAGGAAAATGATTTTTTTTTCTAAGTGTGGGAGGTACAGAAGGGTTTTCCTGGAATTTGGTCTTTGAATATTAGTAAGTGGACCACTACTTAAAGTTTGAGGATCTTTTAGTTGGAATGGAATTTGACCTCAGTCTTAGGATGACTTGTTTTGTGATTGATTTGAAGGAAGCATAACATGTGTAACATTTAGTAATGGCTTTGGAATGACATCATGAGAAGTAGACCCAGCTCATGACTAGCGAATCCCTATCTTTCTGGAAGAGAGATAGATTACGATAAACTGCTTATCTGATTTGTTTTCACAAAGTAAATAATATACCACAAATTTTATCTCTGGAGTTCATGGTTTTTCATTTTAGCTTGTTTTAAGAGAAGGGAATCTCAATTTGTGAGTTTTTACTGGGACACAAAAGAATTGGGTTGAGAACAAAGTAGAGTCGTTGAATATATGTTTCTGTAGTATGAAGTGCATTGTTGGCATTCACTGCAGGGTAATTTTATCCTTAATGTGAATATCCTTAAGTCTTAAAACAGTAATACTAGTTTTTCTAGCATGCTTGTTAACATGTTGCACTTGGATTTCATATCACTACATTAGCTTCTGTTTGCAACAGCTAAAGAATCTCTTTTTCCAAAATAGAAAAACTCTGGTTATCTTTGGCCTTTTGCG